CTCTACAACTCCCTAAATTCTCACAAGTCTGCCATGAGAAAACTTATCTCTTTTTCTGGCTTTCTGACCAGGCTGTCACATCCACAGGTCCCCTTTTTTGTTTAAAGGAGGCACTGTTTGTAATCCTCTGCGGGGCCCCATGCAGGAAGGAGAACAAACATGGCTCCAGAGGTTCCTCAATCGGACGCCAATTTAAAATGGTCAGAGAGATCAGATCTTGTGATTCCATCTTACAAGAAATGCACCATCAATCCTAAAATAATTTGCTTATTCTAATACAATTTCAATACTACATCTAATATAATAACAACTCATTAATTTGTTCAATGAACCGACAGTCTCAGCCTGTCAACAGTCCTTTTTCAGAAGCAAAGAAAGGATGGAATGTTCACTCCCCACTCGTGGAGGGGCCATGTGATTGATGGTCATCATCTTGATCATTTGGTGGTTGCCTGTTGACCACATTCTGGTTTTGGTGTCTCAAGTAAGAGCGGACACACCTCGCAGGTACCCATCGTACTCCAGTATCTGTGGAAACATATGCATACCTGCGGCCCCAAGCGATAAGGTCTCACAGGCCCTCCCCCCTTATTAGGGGCTAGGTCCCATATCTGGACTTTCGCTTGAGGCAGGTGCTTCTCACCTGAAGAATGCAACAAGAGAAAATGATTTAAAATGACAAGATTCTCTGAATTCTGTGGCACTTTGAGGTGGTTGATTTGGTTTCTCCAGGCATCCCCGTTTTTTTGGTTTTTTTTTTTTTTTTTTTTTTGCACATTGAAGGCACTGTGAAGGCAAACTTTGGCTCATCATCAGGGTGCAAAGGAATTGTTGAAAAAAATCCTTCAAGTCAATGATCAAAATCTCCCATCCTACAGGGATCATGGTGGGTGAGATGAAGTTTAATAAGTCCAAGTGCCAAGTCCTGCATTTTGGCCACAATAACCCCCTGCAGCATTATAGGCTGGGGACGGTGTGGCTAGACAGTGCCCAGGTGGAAAGGGACCTCGGGCTACTGGTCGACAGCCGACTGAACATGAGCCAGCAGTGTTCCCTGGTGGCCAAGAAGGCCAATGGCATCCTGGCCTGTATCAGGAATGGTGTGGCCAGCAGGAGCAGGGAGGTCATTCTCCCCCTCTACTTGGTACTGGTGAGGCCGCACTGTGAGTACTGTGTCCAGTTCTGGGCCCCTCAGTTTAGGAAGGACATTGAGATGCTTGAGCGTGTCCAGAGGAGGGCAACAAGGTTGGTGAAGGGCTTGGAATACAAGCCCTATGAGGAACAACTAAGGAAGCTGGGGTTGTTTAGCCTGGAGGAAAGGAAACTCAGAGGCGACCTTATCACTCTCTACAACTTCCTGAAGGGTGGTTGTAGTCAGGTGGGGATTGGTCTCTTTCACCAGGCAGCAACTGTCAGAATGTCTCAAGCTGCGTCAAGGAAAATATAGGTTAGATATTAGGAAAAAGTTTTTCACGCAAAGGGTGATAAAATACTGGAATGGTCTGCCTGGGGAGGTGGTGGAGTCACCATCCCTGAATGTGTTTAAAAAAAGACTGGATGTGGCACTCGGTGCCGTGGTTTAGTTGAGGTGTCAGGGAACAGGTTGGACTTGATGACCTTGAAGGTCTCTTCCAACCTTGTGATTCTGTGAGAGCATAACCGGCTGCAATGCCCCCATGCTTTCCATCACCACATCAATATTCCGGAGGCCCTGTAAGAGTCTCCATTTCCCAGCCTTTATCACAAAGACAGGAGTATTCCAGGGACTAGCAGAGGGTCCCTGTTGACGAAGGTCAACCAATTTCTTCTGTCAGGGGCCACTGATGAACCCAAATGGGTTTGTCCACCAGCCACCATAAAGGCAGTGTAGGATATCTTTTGCCCTTCAACACAGTAGCCTCAATTAAAAATCTGTCCCAATTCACACTCCTCAGGCAGCCAATACATCCAGCCCCCAGAGACTGATCGAAGATGGAATGACATCGGGCTGTACTGCAGCTGTTTGCCCATTCGCATTACTGATCAGCACATACCATTGGCTCACCAAGGTACGTGCTGCATCCCCCACCCCTACGATGGCCGACCCCACAGAAGCCAAAGACCACGTAGGAGGCCATGCAGAGAGGGAGATGACTGTCACATCCGCCCCTGTGTCAATCAAACCTTGAAGTTCGATCATCGGAGGACGGGCACCCAGTAGGGTCAGGGTACACACCATGTGGGGTCACTGAGAAGAAATGTCTGCAGACCAGAAGACTTGAGGCAGTTCCGCGGATCCGAAGCCACCCCTCCCACGAGTCTGCTGGCCAGTCCTGGGGACACATGACTGAAAAGGCACAAGTTGAGCAATCTGAGTCCCTGCCGGAATAGTGACAGCAGGGGAGGGTGTGAAAACCGTGGCACAAATCTGACCCGAAAAGCCAGAGTCAATAACATCTGGGTGAACAAAGATCACTTGGTGAGTGACACAAGACTTCCCCATGAGCAACGTGCTCAGTCTCTGTCCCAAAAGTCCGAACACATCCAAAGGAACCTTATGTTCATGACAGGATTCTAAGATGACCATGTCGGCGGTACATGCATCCACGTCGGTGGAGCCGTGGGTGATGCCTCTGAGCTGGCTGAGCAGACTTGAGCCGGCACCATGCTCTGAGGAATCACTTGTGTCAGGGCATAATTCCCCTGTGTGGTCATCCTCCTATTTCCTGGGCCTACCAGAGGCTGGCCATTGGCATGAAATTTAGCCTTGCATTGGTTTGAATAATGACCTGCCCTCAGGCATCTAGAGCACAAGAAGGTGGAACCCGGTCCTGTCGGTTTGCTTGTCCCTTACTTTCTCCTCCCCTTATTTTTACTCTTCTTCTGTTTTCCGTCCCCTAAGGGTACCTAGTCTGGCTGTGAAACAACCGCCAGAGTGAACACCTTGAGGTCTACAGAACCCATCTTGGCACATGCATTGACTATGTCCACTAGTGTCGGGTTGCCTGGAAGAGCATCTATGATCTTCTGGCACTCACTGTTCGAGTTGACCCGAGCCAACTGCTGGCGTAAAACCCGCCTTAAGGCATCATCCTCACCCTGTTTCTCCAGGGCAGCTGCAAGCCTCTCAGCAAATGGCAAAAAAGGCTCACCTGCTCCCTGAATTATCGTTGTAAACTGTGGTCTGGGGGACGCCGTCTCAATAGTTTTCAACAATGCATTGAATCCTACCCTTTGACACTGCTCAAGAATGGCAGAGTCCCAGGTAGCCTGAAAATCAGGACTGGAAAAGGCCTGCTCTCAGAAGAGACAATCTGTTGCCCTGATTTTTAAAAGTGTGAAGTGATCTTTTATAGTTCTTTTGAAAGTGTTAAAGTTCTAATAAAACTTCTTTAGCCTTCTGATAATGTTTACATATTTGAGAGTCAGAGTTCCCACACAATTTCATGTATAAATAGAATAGTTTACATATTTCTCTGTGAGTGGAGAGAAATGATTGATTGATCTTTAGACCAGTGTGGTTGGAGAGGTAGTAATTCCATCATCCAATCCACGGTCACCTTTGGAATTCTATAAATACCAGATGTTTGAATAAAACTGTGTCTTTTTCTCTTTTAAACTTACCAAACTTCTGTGTAATCATTTTGTGCCCAATAGCAACAAGCATCCACCCCTACACCATACCTAGGATCTACCCGAGGCAGAAGCCTGTTGCTTGCTGCAACCTGTTACAGTGAGCTCCTGGACACCCTTTTGTCCCCCCTTTCCTAGGGCCTCTGTGGCTCTGATCATGATAACCCCTGAATCCTCCCTCCTGCCCCAATGGGGTTGGCGGGGAGCCAGGAGTGCCCACCCTGTCCAAAACCTATATAGACCCCTGAAACTTCCTGCTCTTCCTCTTTTGCCCCACTCTCCATGGACACCACAGAATAAAGAGAGCTGTTCCAACACCCTGGGGTAAGGAGCCTCTTCTGATTACCTTTCCCTCTCCCTGCTATTTCCTCCCCTCACAGCCCCATATCTCTGAGCTAGTCGGATTCATTCGGGGGGCTGCGTGGAGGGGGGGAAAACCATAGAAATAACAGCAACCTTTACAACAGCCTGTGTCCAGCTGTCCAAAAAAACCTCATATTGCACAGGTTGGCACAGTGCCTGAGCAATATGCTTAATATCAAATGGAGCAAGCAGGTTCGAGTTTATCACTGTGAGAGCCTGCATAACTTGCACAGAGCCAAGGCCATATTTTGCAACCTTGTCCTGCAAATCCTGGATCACCTGCCAGGCAATCACCTCATGCTTGTCGGTGTGTCCTGAATTTGGGACAGGTTAATACATGGGAAGAGCTCGCACCAGGACTTGTGGCAGAACATGGTCCTCTTGAACCACCCGTGCCCCCCCCCCCCCCCCCCCCCCCAGATGCCGGACAAGCTGTCTGACCGACACCTGTGGCTCCTTCCTCCGGAGCAAGTGTGGAGTCAGCTGTACACCATGGCCTTCCCACCCTGTCCAACAGGTCCCCACCCAGGGATGGGGAAGACAGTCCACAGGCAGCAGGGGGTGGTGGGTTGGCTGAAGGCTCTGAAGTCGAATGACCGAATGCATACCACAAAGTCAAAGAGTGGGTTGCAAGTCCAGATGCACAGGGGCTGACTGCCAGCTGTGCCATGGTCAGGGGCTCAGCCACAAATGATGCTGCCACGGGCTGCAATGGCAAAGGTGCAAAAGACATCAAGTCAACCAAGTCAGCTGCCGCACCGGGAGGAGGAAGAGGCAGTTGCTCCGCAATCAAAGACGGGGGAACAAAAGGAGACACAGCCCCTGCTGTGTGATTTACCGTTCAGAGAGACGGCGCTGATGCGGCAGGCACAGTCACTGTTGTCCATGCAAGTGCCATGGAAAAGGAGGGGGAAACCACTCGCCATCAGGCATAGATGATGGGTGTGGCAAGTACAGCTGCTCAAGCTCTGTGGCTGATGGCAAGGGAGCTGATATAATGGCCAGTGTTTTTGTGGCAACCGTCGATGGTGAAGCAGATCCCGCCCCCACCCATGATGTGAGGAGGGGATCTTGAGCTGGGAACTGCAGCTCCTGCTGGCCATGAAAGAGTCAGTCCCCGGTGTGCGGGGGGGAGAAAGCAGGACCGGTCACCACAGAGACCCTCCGGCCACTCTTCACAGGAAAAGGGAGAGCCGACCCGCTGGTCATGGCGGTGATAGTTCTGGCACTGCCAGTGGGGACGGAGGGGCGGAAAATGGCGTGAGCAGAGAAGTGCCATCTCCGGGGTGCAGTTGAGATGAGGCTATCGCTCTCAGCAGCATTGATGTCACGGAAGGAGGAGACAGAGATCTCCCCAACAACGTAGGGACCAGGACTTCTCAGCAGAACATAATCTCCAGATGAGAGATAGGTTCTGTGGAGAGTTCCCACGCCTCCTGCCGGCCTGCACGGAGCTGGGGAAAAACTGGCAGTCACCTGGTCTGGTGATCTTTCTCCTAGGGTGCTGCTGCCGTCTCCACCCTCCAATGTTACAGCATTTTTGAGAGAAAGAGGGCATGAATTGTGAAAGTTGAGCTACTCCAGGCTAGGCCTCAGATTGAGGCCTGGTGGGGCCCTCAAAGCCTCTGACGCAGTTAGAAATTCAGGGTTGTGGCGCAGGTAGAAAATAGTCTTAAAGTACTGTGGGGACCACGGGGGGTGAACTAGTATAGGTTTTATGGTGTACAGTGCAGGCCGTTTTAAGGAAAAGGTAAACAATGTTAGCCTACCAATCAGAGTGTCTTTGTTTCTGTAAACTATATAGAAGCTTATATAAACTACCGCCTGATTTTGAATAAACGGAGAACGTTGCATTAATCATATTGATTGGATGTGCGTTTGTCTTGTCCAGTTTCCCGTTTCCCTGAGGTTCCCTGGCTTTAAGTGGCGCCCGGACCAGGGACTCAGGAGGCTCCGAAAAGGCTGCCAAATTACTTTTAGAGTAACGGGCAGTCAGGTTTGAGTCGCGCGACAGGAATTCAGGTCCAAATCGCCTCATGGTGACGGGACCGGGATCCCAAATTCACTTTTTGTGAACGGGGATCAGGTGGAACGGAGCAGAAGTCTCCAAACTCCGAATTGGGCCGTTTCCCAACGGGAGGAAAAAGACTCTTCGCATTGTTGTTTGCTTGCGAGAGTCCGTTGGAGCAGTGGGAAGACCTCGGCGTTCACAAAGGACCCGAACGGCGGGGGTGGACGTGGCCGAGGCCGGGGAGCTGGAGCGGGAGCTGCTGCCTTGCCGAAGAAAAGCGAGAGCGGAGCAGCCCGCGGAGACTGAGGTAAGCCGCGAACAGAAAGAGAGGGTGAAAGTTCACCATGGATGGAGATTTTCAGGCTTCAGTGCGGCTGCTCTTTCATATTCTCTCAAAGAGAGCTGAAAAAGTTAAAGAAGCCGATTTAGAACAGTTGGTCCTTTGGGCGAGAAGCAAAGGCAAGCTGCAAAAACCTTCGCTGATTTTTAGTAAAGTCGAATCGCAAGAGCTGGGGCAGCTGCTTTGGCACGCAGTGATAGAGGGCGGAGATGGGAGAGAAGCAGTGCTGGCCCCTCGCCCCCCCGCAGCAGCGGCGGCGGCGGCGAGCAACCCGGCGCGGCATGTCAATTGTAGCAGAAACAAGCGATCACAAAGCAAGATACAAAGGCAAGAAAAAGTTACAGAAAGCCCTTCCTCGTCCCTTGCGGAACGGGTTGGCAGAACTAAGGCAACGGACTGTGGCGGAGAGCAGCAGGGTGCGGCGGTGAGCACCGGCCAGCTGCCCGGGCGGATCGCAGAGCGGGGCCAGGCAGAGCGGGGCCAGGCAGAGCGGGGCCAGGCAGAGCGGGGCCGGCCAGCACCGAGCCTGAGGCGGCCCCGGGGCGGAGCGGACTTCGGCCGAGAGACAGAAGGCTCCTTGTTGCCGAGCAACAGCGCAAGGGTGGAGACGGGCATTCCCCGGGGCTCGGCCGCGCTGGAGTCGGAGCAGGCGGGGTGCGGCCGCATCAGGAGCGTCTCCTCGCCCGTCCCCACAGTGACGCAGCAAGGACGGGAGCGAGACGGCGCCGCCCCCCCTCATCTCCCCGCAGCACCCAGCAATGGCGGCGGAGACGCTGCACAGCCTGGTTGCCACGGTAACGACAACCCCGAGAGCAGCAGCGCCACCGATGGCGAGATGGCAACACTACAGCAAAAATTTCAACAGCTTTTTTTTTTCAACTCCTTGCAAGAGACAAAAGACGTAATGAAAAAGTATAGCAATACTGAGTGTTTTCCAAGAAACCAAGAGGGATGGACATTATGCAAATCAAAGTTATTTCAAACACAATGTGGATGAAAATTACTGTAAAACAAAAAAGGATAGAAATGTTAATAATTATTTAATTGCTAAAAATGTCTCTGAAAACAAAGATTTGAGAAAAGTCAGTCAGATGGAATGTTGGCATTGAGTTCACAATTTTTGTTTTTGAGTTTTTATAGATAATAATATAAGTGATGATGATTTTTGAGTTTTTATAGATAATAAGATAAATAATAATTGTCAAGTTTTTATGCATAATGATAAGTAGTGATTGTTACTAATGTTATATAAATGCTTGACAAGATTGTTTTAAACTATTTTAAACATTTCTTGTTAATAGGTTGATCATATAATGTAAGTTGTCTGATTTTTGTGATAAGAATTATTATTAAGATGTTAAGGTATTGAGGTGTTGTTTTAATATTTACAGTCAGTTTTCATATGTTTTATGGGGTTTTTTTTTTTTTTTAGGTGATTGATTGTAAGATGTGTTTTTCAGGATCCTGTGTGCTTGATTTTTTAACTACTCATGTGTTTTCTTTATTCAATTTTCTATGCAGCTGCAGTTCATCTTTTAAAAATTTATAGTCCAAGTTCTGGTTCAAGATTTCAGACTTCAAATTTTCAGATTTTTGAAGAAAAGGTTTGTTGTATTTAGAGAATTTTTGTCTTGAAACAAATTTTAGACAGGTTCAATTATTTGATGTTTTGATAAATTGTTAATAATAAGGTTTTTCACTTATAACTGTTATTTTTAAGACCTTTGCTTTAAACATATCCTCCAATTAGAGTTCGAGCTCTGGCCAGGCTCTGGCTCTACGTGGATGGTGTGATTGATCCAGGTGTTTTCTGCATCAAAAAAGTATTCAAGTCCTTTTGGCTTGACAATTTGACCATACAGGACAGCTGAGCCTCAAAGGAGGTTTTGGAGAGACATGATCCGGACATGTTTTATCCAAATCTCTGTTGTTTTAAGGTTTTTCAGCTGCTGCAGACTCTGGGATGACAATTTGATAGTGTAGCACTTGGTAACTGTGATTTTATATGTAATATTGATTGTGTATTATTTGATTGATTTTTATTTGTTGTTAGTTTCTTTACTATATGCATTGTTTTGTTCTTAATGTTTTTCATGTTTATAACAAAGATGTTGATATTTCCATTTCTTCATGCAAGTTTTAGGGAACAGACTTGAGAGAGGACCCTCCAGTCCCTGTGGGGGTGTTGGGTTTGTTTGTGTTTTAACAGGTGCAGAATCAAAATGGATTTCAGTGAAGAATGTGGAACTTATCAATTGCAAGAGGGCACTGATCTCTCCACAAGTGGATCAGAGGATGCACAGCAAAAGTGGATTGTGCAAAGATTTGTGTTTCACCCACAGAAGATCGTGGGCTTTGAGTTTTTTCTTTATAAGTGTGTTTTTAATGATATTATAGAATTTTTTTTGCTAAGTTTTTAATAAGTTTTAGTAATGCCTGTGATTTTTCTGTTCATCTTGCCATTGTCTTTCAATGGCAAAAGAAAAAGAGGGAGGTCCCAACGGGGATCAACAGAAATTCTACTTGAGTGAGTGTTTTTACCCATCCAACCAAGAAGTCGTGTGATGGACAGGACAGATGCTCTCGCTGCATTGATACGAAAAGGCAGAAACAGAATTTTAAAAATAGATGAAACAGAAAAATAAGTTGAAATATCATAAGTGTGAAGTTAGATTTATCAGAAGTTAGTTTATTAGAAGTTATAGTTTATGTTTAGAATTAAGATTGTTTCTTTCATGTTAGACAGGGTATTCAAGAACCTGAGAAGAATGTGGTGGGCCTCAATGTTTTTATTTCGCACTTGTTTAATTTTTGGAGTCTCGTTGGGTCCCATGGCAGAGTTCAAGACTTGGACCTGAGCTCAAATAAGTTTAAATAGCACTCTGGGAGCGCAAGCTGTTGCATTTGTGCAAAACCTTAAATTTACTGATGGTAGTTTTCAAGAATTTGGTCTTTTGGGTTCTGTCCCAGGAAATTACTGTTTGATATTTGGATCTTATGCTACCAAACCAACTCAAGAAAATGGAAAATTGACAGATGACAACACTTGATTGTCTCCCAGATCACCATTGTATTACAACTATTTAGAATATTGTAACAATTCGACTCCAAGAGGTAGTGCAGGAAAAACTGCCCCCAGGAACCTTCCTCATTTGTGGGGACCGAGCCTGGTCAGCAGTCCCTCAAAATGATAGGGGAGGCCCATGTTATATCGGTAGGTTGATGCTTTTTGCTCCCACCATACATCAGGTTCTCGAATTGCCTCAGAAGACTCAACGAGCCAAACGCAGTGTTCTCCAAATGGACACTTCATTTGATAACTGGCTCAATTCTTCAGGTTTTTCTGACTGGGTCAAAGACAGTGTGTGCAAAAATTAGTTCATTGAGTCTTCACTCCAGCCTGAGTAGCTCAAAAGAAAAAGAGGGAATTGTTACAGCATTTTTGAGAGAAAGAGGGCATGAATTGTGAAAGTTGAGCTACTCCAGGCTAGGCCTCAGATTGAGGCCTGGTGGGGCCCTCAAAGCCTCTGACGCAGTTAGAAATTCAGGGTTGTGGCGCAGGTAGAAAATAGTCTTAAAGTACTGTGGGGACCACGGGGGGTGAACTAGTATAGGTTTTATGGTGTACAGTGCAGGCCGTTTTAAGGAAAAGGTAAACAATGTTAGCCTACCAATCAGAGTGTCTTTGTTTCTGTAAACTATATAGAAGCTTATATAAACTACCGCCTGATTTTGAATAAACGGAGAACGTTGCATTAATCATATTGATTGGATGTGCGTTTGTCTTGTCCAGTTTCCCGTTTCCCTGAGGTTCCCTGGCTTTACTCCAAACTCCCCATCTCCGATGCAGTGTCCAGGGCCGGGGTGGCACAGAACAGGCGCCTCCATACAGCCATAAGGCAAGGCACCGTGAAATCTCCTCCAGAAAACTCCTCCACATGCTGGCAGCCTAATGCCTCCCACAGGATCGGTATAAAAGCAGTGTCCAGACCCACCAGGAAATCATGAGACTTGGCCCATGTTAACAAAGCGCAGAGCAAATAATCCAAAACAGAGAGTCCCCTAAAGGAAATCATGTCCCTCCACACAGAAACAACTGTGTCCTCCCCTTTAGAAGAAGGGTTCTCCATAGCGGAAACACCAGCACCCAACCCCATCAAAGCATGGACTGTCCGTTGCGCTGGGAAACTCTGTCTCCACCCACTGTTCTAAGTTATCAGGGCAAAACTACGGTCCCAGTCCCTTCCAGGAGGATGCAGGGAAAAGCTGCTACCTCTCCGGGGAGAACAGAGGGTGTCCGGGCGCGAGTAGACCATGCGGGAATCGCGGGGTCCCAGTGGGAGTCCCGAGTTGGTTCCACCATCCACAAGGGGCCGATCGGTGCGAGACACGGCATGGTCATCAGATGTCACTACTGAGTAAGAAAGTGGCACAGACTCCAAGAAGGCTGGTTTGCACAACAGCAACTTTAATGCTTAAAACTCTTCCCTTTATAGCCTGTTCTGACACATTCTACCTGATTGGCAAATTAACAAAATTAACAAAAATACTTTTCTCACAAACAGAAGAACAGAAAAACAAAGAGTAGAAAAACACCACCTGCAGGTTGTTTACAATAACAAGCTATCATCATTTCTCTACAACTCCCTAAATTATCACAAGTCTGCCATGAGAAAACTTATCTTGTTTTCTCGCTCTCTGACCAGGCTGTCACATCCACAGGGGTTGTCGGCTTGGAAACGGTAATGTCACCAGTCTCCACCACCCCCTCACACGTGTTAGCCACATTCTACATGTGCCATGTGTTAGGGCTCAGACCGTGTAGTAATTTTCAACCCAATGTCAGAAAACAGATTTATAGCATAAAATCCAGATAAAATTGAGGCATAAATAAAAATTAAATTGGTTCCTCACAATCCCAACGTTGCTTCATGTCAGCTTCAGAGTAGGAAGGCTCTACGGAGGGATCTGGACAAGATGGATCAATGATCCAAGGCCAATTGTATAAGGTTCAACAAGATCAAGTTCCAGGTCCTGCACTTGGGTCACAAAACCCCCATGAAACAGTACAGGCTGGAGGAAGAGTGGCTAGAAAATGGCTCAGTGGAGAAGGACCTGGGGGTGCTGGTCAGCAGTCAGCTGAATGTGAACAAGAGTGTGCCTAGGTGGCCAAGAAGGCCAATGGCATCCTGGTCTGTATCAGAAATAGTGTGGCCAGCAGGACCAAGAATATTAACTGAATTTATTACTAACAAGACTAACAGAGTAGGATAAGAAGAAGCAAAATAAGACCTTAAAAAACATCTTCCCCTGTCCGAGATTGAGACACAAGATGTTTTTTATTACCATCTGTGTAGCAGTTGTCCTCTGGGCAGTTTTCCTTATCTCCTGTTAACGGGCCCATCAATGTCTTGCCACATGACTCAAAGATAACTCCCTTCAAGAGCCATTTCTGTTTAACAGGTGTCATGGTTTGACGCTGGCACAATGCCAGCGCCCCATGAAAATACAACTTACCAATTAAATGCTGTGAAATGTGATCAAGAACAGAGCAAAGCAGGCCAAACTTAATAACAAAAGAAAAAGCTTTATTACACTACTACTACTACTACTATAAAAGGAAAAGAAAGGAAAGAAAAAAACACACAAAATTCGAAATGAAAACCTTCCAAAACATTTCTCCTCCCTCCACCCAACTCCACCAAACCCCAGCGAGACCCATTTGGATCCTTAATCAAGTTTTCACCCTTCAATATAATCAATACTGAGTCCATCGGGGAAGAGAGGAGTCCCCCTTGCAACCATAGACCCCCAGGAAACACAACTGCCACCTTTTGTGTTTCCAATGTCACACATGGCACCGCCCAGACACACCGGGCCAGTGTGACATTCTCCTCTCCATGTCACAGTGCTCTCACCACCGTGCATGGACAGAGACTGCTTATAGGGCCCCTTTAAGGATGCTTTGCCAAGGACCACCAGGAACAACAGTCCAGTATCACAATTCGGGACTAGAGTCCCCCCCATTTTCCCCTGGGGCCGAGGGTCCAAAAGACAGAGATCGCCTTCTCTTCTTCCTGAAGATGGAGGGCATCCTCACACCCTCCTCAGCTCTCTCTCTGTCCACTCCAAAACTGGTAGTTGCTGCAGAAGGTCTCTTGGCCCACCAATGCATCCCCCTAAAATGCAGTCCCTCTTGAAAAGAAAGAGTGGTTCAGTCTATGGTAAACAAGCAGAGTCCAGCCAAAAAGCCACTCTATCATCTGCCCCCAACCTTCTTCTCTAAACATCTGAGGTTTCAAGCTGTCTCTCTTTTCTTCAAATTCAGGAGGAGTAATATTTCATAAAGCCTTCATTTCTCAGGAAGGGTTAAAAGTCCCAACTCCCAAGGATGGCTCACTGCCCAGGCTCCAGCTCCCACAGCCCGGCTGGGCACCTTGCGGCCCCCCCCGCTCTTCTCCTTCCCTGCGGCGAACTGCTGATAAAACCACCGAGTCTCTGTCTCTTTTCTCTCCTGGGAGATAGAGAGACTCTGGGGGGAGTGGAGACATCCCAGATTTCTCCACCCTTCCAACTGCAGGGGGCCAGGTCTGGTTGCAGCCCCTCCACCCTTGGGCCTACCTCCACAGGCCGCATGGCTCCCCTCCCCCACCCAGCCCGGGCTGGGCAGGGGAGAGGTCCGTACCATGCGGTGACCGGAACCAAAGAAGGACGAGTCCTCCCGGGAATTCCGCTTTTAACCCCTCTGTGTTCTCAGAGGCGTGTCCACCTTCAATTGGTCACCCCAAGTGTCAGTATCTAAACCTGACCCCTGACTGGTGAACCTCTTCCTTCTAAAAAAAATTCTCTTCCCGTGTCAAACCATGACAACAGGTGATCAAAGACCCACCACATGACTCAAAGTGACATCAGCCCATTGTGAGATGCTCTGCCCAGGGGGGAGGAGCTAAGCATTCCCACCTAAATATATTCTGAGATTTTTAGACAGAAAAGCAGCCTTTCCACAGGTTCCCAAGAAGACACAGCTGAAGTTTTTCCAGTAGACCGACTGCACCTTTTCTACAGGACCACTGCCCCAACAGAACCATATCTACTACTCCAAGAGGACTGCAGCCACTCCAATTTGGACTGCTACCAACATGCTAGCCAAAGGGGTGTCAGGTTGTATTCTGACTTTGTCAGTAGTTTTCCTTTTGTATTATTGCATGTATTTTGTTTCTTTTCCCTTTTCCCAATAAATTGTATTTCTGACTTAGAGTCTCTCACTAGTTTTGCTTTCAAACCAGAACATAATTTTGGCGCCTAATGTGGGGCTCGAGGTACTGAGAAAAGTCAGAATTATAATTTTTTATTGTAGAATATAGAATGTACCTATTCACTATGATGCTTAACATGCTTGCATGGGTCTTATACCTAGCTCTCTATATTTTCCCAAACATGGGGTGTCGGAATCTGTGGGTATTGGTGATTCCGAGATTGTAGAAAGTCTCTGTCTTTCTGCCCCGTTGCCAAAGAAGAAGCCATAATTCGTCTGTGCTGGTTTCAAGGTTGTTTATTTTTGCTTATCTATAACATGTTCTGCTGCCCTGCCACAGGTCTGTCCTGCAGGGCAGTGTGCGGGGCTCTGCCCCTCAGTGGGATGGTACAAACATTATATACCAGAAACTACGTGTGCTATATTTACAATAATGTGCCAATATCTATCATCTACGTTGAACAGTGTGTCCCCAGCCTAAACCAATAGAAAAATGCCAACATCACCAAGAACATGGAGGTAAGGAAGAAGAAGGAGGAAGAACAGGATCAGGCCCACTTTCCTCCATCTTAGAACTCCTGACCCCCCTGTACAAAGTAAAACCCCCCCTGTACAGGTGTTAAAACCCCCCTGTACAATACTAAAAATTTTTTCCCTCTAATTTGTGACTACTTTTACTATACCATCGAACTCTCTGTGACCGCTTGTTCCATCTTCAAAGTTGATAATTCACTCCATGGTTCAAACTCAAGATCACAGCTGTTTTCAGCTGCTTGCCAGGGTCTAAAATGCTTTTGACCAAGGCCTGGAACCTCTGAAAATGTCTGAGGGACATTTTGAGTTCCGACAATGGGGAATTATTTGGGGATTTTAATACTTATGTGTAGACCAGGGTATGGTATGAGAATTGCTTTATTGGTCTATTATGTCTATTGCATTATAACCTCCGAGGCAATGAACATATTTCGGAATATGTACTTAGTTCTGTTTGCCTGCCATAATCTAAGCTGCTATGTCTGGGGCCTTGACAATTGCACACAGCCCCTGGGGAGAGGGGTAAAGAATTATGTTTTCCAACCTTTCAGGCTTGACACAGCAGTTTTTTTAAAATGTTGAGTTCCCTCTGTATGCCAAGGACAGCATAAAGATGTTGTTAGTTCTGTTTTGTCTTCTCTGCACAGTCTGCAACATGCTTAGAAACAAAACACTACATAGTGTGATGCAGCGTGTACTTGAGGAAGAGGAAACAAGAAGCAAAGCAGCAGTGTCCATATCCACACAGAATGCCACAACAGCATCCATGTCTACGCAGACTGTCACAGAGGAGGAAGAAACCAAAACGCCATCAGCATCTCCACACAAACCATCACCAAACCAGAAGAGCCTGAACCAGTAGCAGTTGCCCCCATTCAGAAGAAGAAATCAAAAAGCAAATCAGTCCACATAGTGACTGACGAGGATGCGGCAGGACCTTCGCACCCAGCAGAAGAGACAGAGCCAGAGATCATCACTCGCTCTCTGTCCCTGGGTGAGCTGTGTGACCTGCTGAAGGAATTCACCTGCCAGATGAACAAGTCCCTCCTGACCTGGCTACTCCGCATCTGAGACGCTGCAGCCATACCATTCTAGATGGAAGTGAAGCCAAGCAACTGGGATCACTGTCCCAAGATGTGGTCATTGACCAGGGATTGGGAGAACCCAAGTGTCATGGTTTGACACGGGAAGAGAATTTTTTTTTGAAGGAAGAGGTCAGTCCAGTCAGGGGTCAGGTTTGGATACTGACACTTGGGGTGACCAATTGAAGGTGGACACGCCTCTGAGAACACAGAGGGGTTAAAAGCGGAATTCCCAGGAGGACTCATCCTTCTTTGGTTCTGGTCATCGCAAGGTACGGACCTCCCCCCCCAGCCTGGGCTGGGTGGGGGAGGGGAGCCATGCGGCCTGCAGAGGTAGGCCAGGGGATGAAGGATCGGAACCGAGCTGGGCCACCTCCTGCGGACGGAAGGGTGTAGAACATCTGGGATGTTTTTGTTCCCCCTCCCCTAAGCTAGAGGGAAAAGAGATAGAGAGCCAGCAGACACCTGGGAGTTTGCCGGCGGAGGAGAAGGAGAAGGGGGGGGAAGATGCCCAGCGTGGGAGATGGGAGACGGAGTCCTGGGCTGAGATTTCAGTCGTCCGGGGAGTCTGGGAATTTTAACCCTTTCCTGTGAAATGAAGGCTTTATGAAATATTACTCCTCCTGAATTTGAAGGAAAGAGAGACAGCCTGGGACCTCAGATGTTCAGAGAAGAAGGTTGGGGGGAGATGATGGAGTGGCTTTTGGCTGGACTCTGCTTGTTTACCATAGACTGAACCACTCCTTCTTTCAAGAGGGACTGCATTTTAGGGGGATGCACTGGTGAGCCAAGAGACCTTCTTCAGCAACTACCAGTTTTGGAATGGACAGAGAGAGAGCTGAGGAGGGTGTGAGGATGCCCTCCATCTTCAGAGAAGAAGAGAAGGAGATCTCTGTCCTTGGACCCTCGGCCCCAGGGGAAAATGGGGGGGACTCTAGTCCCGAATTGTGATACTGGACTGTTGTTCCTGGTGGTCCTTGGCAAAGCATCCTTAAAGGGGCCCTACAAGCAGTCTCTGTCCATGCATAGTGGTGAGAGCACTGTGACATGGAGAGGAGAATGTCACACTGGCCGGTGTGTCTGGGCAGTGCCACGTGTGACATTGGAAACACAAGAGGTGGCAGCTGTGTTTCCTGGGGGTCTGTGGTGCAAGGGGGACTCCTCTCTTCCCCAATGGACTCAGTATTGATTATATTGAAGGGTGAAAACTTGATTAAGGATCCAAATGGGTCTCACTGGGGTTTGGTGGAGTTGGGTAGTGGGAGGAGGAATGTTTTGGAAGGTTTTCATTTCAAATTTTGTGTGGTTTTTTTTTCTTTCCTTTCTTTTCCTTTTATAGTAGTAGTAGTAGTAGTAGTGTAATAAAGTTTTTTCCTTTGTTATTAAGTTTGGCCTGCTTTGCTCTGTTCTTGATCACATTTCACAGCATTTGATTGGTAGGTTATATTTTCATGGGGCGCTGGCATTGTGCCAGCATCAAACCATGACACCAAGAAACTCTCAGCCTCTGGCGGCAACTGCTGACAAGTGTGAGGGACAGATACCTTTGTAAAGAAGACCTCCAGGTGCACCAAGGAAAATGGAACACCATGGAACAAGGTATCCGATGCCTAAGGAAATTGGCTGTATTAGAGATAATTTTCTCAGAAGACGAGAGATTTCCTGAGTCCAGATTGTGTCCAGTGCACATCGCAAATGTAGTTGAGATTTGCACTGCTTAGACCAGAGATGCATTCCCATTACCTGGCAACACTGCAATGGAGAGAAAGCGGGGACAGGGTGGGCATCTTAGCCAATAAAATAAAAATTTATGAGGATACTGTCATGCCCCATTTTGTACCCATGTCTCGTCCGTAGAAACAAAGTTGGCTGAGCAAGTCTGATACTTGATTAAAGAGAGTAATCAGAAACTAAAAAAGGAACTTAAGGAGGAAGTCTACCATATTTCACCAGAACCAACAAGAGTCTCTGCCATTAAGAGACGGCATTCCGCAGCCAAGGAGAGAAGATACACTCCACGAGGTAACCTCTGGTTTTTTCTTCAGGAGCATGGAAAAGACATGAGGAAGTGGGATGGAAAACCCACCTCCTCCTTAGCAGCCCGAGTACATGAACTAAAAAGTGGAACACCTAACACAAGAAGCTCATCTAGAGTCAATGCTGCTCCAGTCTCTCACACACAGAATTCCAGACAGTATAAGAATGATGATATAACAGATCCTCTTGAAGGAACCTCAAGAACCTATTTACAGAAAGACAGCAACGTGTACCATGACCAAGAACAGAGGGGACCTGCCTCTAGCCAGGTAGAGGACAGGGACAATCAGATCTATTGGACTGTGTGGATTCAATGGCCTGGCACATCTGAGCCACAAAAATATACAGCTTTAGGTGACACCAGTGCCAAATGTACCCTGATGCCATCAAGGTATGTAAGAGCAGAATCCATTTCTATTTCTGGAGTAACAGGAGGATCCCAGCAGCTGACTGTATTGGAGGCCGAAGTGAGTTTAACTGGGAACGGGTGGCAGAAACACCCCATCGTGACTGGCCCAGAGGCCCCATGCATCCTTAACATAGACTATCTGAGAAATGGATATTTCAAAGCCCCAAAAGGACGTTGCTGGGCTTTCGAGATAGCTGCTGTAGAGACAGAAAACATCAGAAAGCTAGATACCTTACCTAGTCTCTCAGATGACGCATCTGCTGTAGGACTGCTGAGAGTTGAAGAACATCAGGTACCAATTGCCACAGCAACAGTACACCATCAGCAATATCGTATCAGCAGAGACTCTGTGATCCCCATCCATGAGATGATTTATAAACTGAAGAGCCAAGGGGTGGTAAACAAGGCCCATTCACCTTTCAACAGCCCTATATGGCCAGTGCACAAGTCCAGTGGAGAATGGAGACTGACAGTAGATTACCGTGTCCTGAATGAAGTCACACCACCACTGAGCTCTGCCGTGCCAGACATGTTGGAGCTTCAGTACGAGCTGGAATCCAAGGCAGCAAAGTGGTACGCAACCATCAATATTGCTAACGCCTTCTTCTCCATTCCTTTGGCAGCAGAATGCACACCTCACTTTGCCTTCACCTAGAAGGGAGTGCAGTACACCTAGAACCGACTACCCCAGGGGTAGAAGCACAGTCCCACCATCTGCCATATATTGATGCAAGCTGCACTAGAAAAGAGCGAGGCTCCCGAACATCTACAGTATATTGATGACATCATTGTATGGGGGAACACAGCAGGGGAAGTCTTCAAAAAAGGAGAGGAGATTATCCAGATTCTGCTGAAAGCTGGTTTTGCCATTAAGCGAAGCAAGGTTAAGGGACCAGCTCAAGAAATTCAGTTTCTAGGAGTCAAGTGGCAAGATGGACATTGTCAGATCCCAGCAGAAGTAATCTACAAGATCACCACTATGTCTCCACCTACCAACAAGGAGACACAAACTTTCCTAGGTGCCATAGGCTTTTAGAGAATACACATTCCCAAGTACAGCCAGATTGTATTCCCTCTCTACCTGGTCACCCGCAAAAAGAATAATTTCCACTGGGGCCCTGAACAGCAACAAGCTTTCACCCAGATCAAGCAAGAAATCGCTCATGCAATAGCCCTTAACCCAGTCAGGATGAGACCAGAAGTGAAGAACGTGCTCTACTCTGCAGCCAGGAACCATGGTCTGTCCTGGAGCCTTTGGCAGAAGGTGCCTAGGGAGCCTCAAGGTTGACCACTGAGATTCTAGAGCCGGAGCTATAAAGGCTCTGAAGCAAACTGCACCCCCACAGAGAAGGAAATCTTAACCACCTATAAAGGAGTTCAAACTGCCTCAGAAGTAATTGGAACCAAAACGCATCTGCTTCTGGCCCCCTGGCTACCAGTGCTGGGGTGGATATTTAAAGGAAAGGTTCCTTCTACACATCACCCAGCACGCCCATATTAGAAATCCGAATCGCCCTGGGATTCTGGAAATTATAACAAACTAGCCTGAAGGAGAGACTTTTAGATTATCTTCTGAAAAAGAAGAGCAAGTGGCACGTGCCGAGGAGGCCCCACCATATAATGAGCTACCAGATACTGAAAGACAATATGCCCTTTTTACTGATAGTTCCTGCCGAATTGTAGGCACTAGCCAGAAATAGAAAGCTGCAGTATGGAGACCCACATGACGAGCTACATAAGCTACTGAAGGACAAGGTAGATCAAGTCAAGTTGCAGAGCTTAAAGCTGTCCAGCTGGCTTTGGATATTGCTGACTGAGAGAAGTGGCCGAGGCTCTATCTCTACACTGAGTCATAGATAGTAACTAATGCTCTGTGGGGATGGCTGAGTTACTGGAAAAAAGCCAAGTAGCAGCATAGAAGAAAACCCATCTGAGCCACCAAGATCTGGCAAGACATTGCCACCTGTCCTAGTTTAGGGCAAATTTGGGGAAAACCCAGGAAATAAACCCCCACGGCCCCTCTCCACCCACCTGGTTCAGGGAAAAATTCCCTCTGAGAGAGAAGTGGAAAAGAACCTGTTTATTCAACAACAAAGCACTCCCCAGCACCAAAACAATTAACAACACAAGATGACAACAAAACTCTTTCACCCCTCTGAAGAGCTGAACAAATCCAGAAGGTCTTTCCTGGGAGTGGTCGCCTGGGTCTGGACGCTGGGGTTGGCTGCTGCAGATCTCCAAATGCAGGCTCCTGGTGTTCTTTGGTGTTTCCCAGATCCCAGAAAGAGGAAGGGAAAAAAGCAACAGTCCAGGGAAAGAATTGGACTGCTTAACCTAACTAGGAAGCAAAGCAAGAAAGCAGGCAAAGCAAGCAAGCCAAGCAAGCAAGCAAGCAAAGCAAGCAAGCCAAGCAAGCAAGCAAAGCAAAGCCAGCCAGCCAGCCCTAGCCTTTTCTAGCTTTCCAGCAGACATGGGGGGAGGTGAACCAGATGATAACACAGCAAAACAAACCTTCACTTTCAGAGTCAGTTCTGAAAGCACAG